GGCTGAGGAGTGACATCTGGCCAAGTGCTGCAGCTCAGAGTCAGTTTGCTTGCTTTCCCTTTGTCTCAAGAAGTTGCAGGGGGCTGGGGCTAGGGCTCAATGGTAGAGCGCTTGCCTAGCATGTGTGAGGCACTGGGTTTGATCCTCAGCACCACATAAAAATAAATAAATACAATAAAGATATTGTGATAAAAAATGCTTTAAAAAGAAAAGTTCCAAAACGCATTGCTGGAGAGGTCAGGGCTGTCATTCTTGCCGGCCTCAGTTCCATGGCTCTTGTCAACTGGGGTATCAAGAGGACAAGCTGCAGCTGCTCTGGGGCTGGAATGAACACTGTGCTCAGGGCAAGAAGCGCCCGCTGACTTCCCTGCACCGAGTCAAATCTTCTCATTCCATTGCGTGTTCCTGAAGACTAGGATTTTCTGGAATGAGGGGAATTGCCTCCTACGGCCAAGAAAGCTGTGGCGGCATTTAGCGAGCAGATGAAACCTGGAGGGGAATTCTGCATGTCAGTGGGTGCTCATGGTGGCATGTCCAGACGCCTGCCTGACCCTCTCTCTTGAGACTTCTCTGCCAGAATGTCAGGAACCTCTTCCACTGGGCTCCCAAAGCTCCTGTTAGACTGTGATCAGAGTTAGAGTAGTAGCATCTGACCCCATAGAGACACATGAAATCTCTTGATTCTTCAGATCAGGCAAACTCTAGTGTAGGTAATGGAGCAGACGTGGAAGATGGGAATGGACTGGGATGTGTGTGTGTGTGTGTGTGTGTGTGTGTGTGTGTGTGCGCGCGCGCACACACACACACATGCACAGACACACTCCTATCACTGGTCAATGAGGACAGAAAGCCCAGTCTGGAGGGGTGATGCAGCCTGGGACTGGGTGGGCAGGAGAGCAGAAGAGGGCAGGGAGCAGCCTGTGTGAAGTCGGATTTCACCAGCGTCATCCTGACACCAACAAGTTGGAGTGTCTCTCAAAGGCGCACCCAATCTCCTTCCCTTCCTGTGATGCCATTGGGAGGATACAAGGGTCGTCTCCTTTCCACATGGATCTGGTATGTGTCTCTGCCTTAGCTTCTTGTCTTAAAAGATTCAAGACTGAAAATCACACAAGTCGGCAGAAAAGGAGACGTGACCTTACACAGCAGTGTGACCGGAGGCTTGCCATGGGGTTGTTCTGGAGGGTCTGCCCTCGCCTCTGCGGGTCTCAGGGAGCCAGCACTGGAGCACTGGAGCCAGGCCGTCTGTTGCCCCCCACCCAAGTGAGGCATCTGGATACTCATAGACCCCTCTCAGCACAAGGTCACGGTGCTGGAAGGCCAGGCAGGGACTCAGAACTGTGTATTTCCCAGGGTGGCAGTGAGCCCCAGTGGTCCAAGACCACAGGCACCCCCAGGTAATATCCAGGCCCTTAAGCACTTTTCAGGTATCAAGATTGAGGGTGTGGCTCTGCTCAGACCCTCCACCTCTCCTCTTTAATGGTCATCTTCCTGTTTCTCCAGGGCTTGGTGACTTTCCTTCCTTTCTGTAGTCAGGATTCTCATCTCTTCCCTGGATTGTGACTCTTTTCCAGCATATGCCGATGGAGCTCTCCTGGATAGTGTTGATGTCAATGGTGAGCTTTCCCAAGACTGAAATGACCTTGACATGGGGGAAAAATAAACGGAGGTATCAGACGTACCAACTCCACATGGCTTGTCTTGATGCTGAAACTCAGGTCACACAATACCCGTGTGCCTGTTCTTTCCGGTCTCCCTTCTGTGTTGTTGTGTGTTTACAGACTGATCTGTCCTCAAGCCATGGCTGCCATTATGTTTTGGTGGTGCTCCCTGGGTAGGGTGGGGGGACCTGCCCTTCCTTCAACCCAAAGGGAAGCAGACAGAACTGCGAGTGCTCTGCTATCATGTCCTCTTCTTATAATACCAAGTGTCCCAAGTGTGCTCATCCATCCATGTAGATTCTTAGAAAGTAATAACTGTCTGAAAAATTCCCCAGAGTCATTCTCTCTGGAAAGGGCTGCCCTACTCTTTTCTCTTCATTTTTCAGAAAGAACCACTCTAATGCCTCCTCCCAACCTGACGCAAAACAGACAGACAGACAGACACACACACATACACACACACACACACACATGCTTACTCACCCACTCACACACACAAAAACACCATCCAGGAACCTTCCCCTGCTGCAACTAGGCCTGCTTCATACATCTCAGCAGAACTAAGGCACCAGGGTTAGGTGGCAGGTGGTCACAGTGCTGTCTACTGCTGTCAGCCATTGGTTCTTCTGGCTTCACAACAGGGCTTCCAGCTAACTCGAACATAGACAGGACGTTGCAAAGCCAGGAAGCTTTTGCCATGGCTGCTAGGTTCACCTCCAGCAGGAGCCACTTGAACAGATTCTCAGGAGTATAGCTGGTTGGCAGCACCTAAAGTCACTTCCTGAACGTGGTTATGAGGGAGTTTGCGAATTGTAGTTTTTTTCTCTTTCCAACTGACCCCCAGCTCCACCACCATAACATGTCCAGAGTAGCCTTAGGAAAACAAATGTCCAATTCCCAGTACCTACATTCCTGGGAAGAAAGTACACCCTAACAATGTTTGACACCGTAGGTGCAAAATTCTCTAGCAAAAAAAAACAACAGTGAAGGATCCGGCTCTGGGATGTGGCAGAATGTGACTCACTGAAAGCCTTTCTGCAAATCATCCATCCTTTCTGCTTCTGGTGACCTCCATTCTTTAAGGCAAGAAGTTGGTCTCCTAAGAATTTTTTGTTCTTCTGAGGTCTCCTGGGCATGATAGGTAACGGTTATGCCAGGAAATCAGTAGCCCATGACTATCAGTGGCTTAAAATTAAAACGATTAGAGTTTATATCTTGTTAATGCATCTGTCCCACCTAGGTCAGGAAAGGAGTTTAGAATCAGGACTCAGACTGACCAGGGCTCCATCATCAAGCTTGCTCCTGTGTGCCCTCCTGACGAGGCAGGAAAAGCACAACTTAGCAACCTGCACCCCTGTTTCTGGAAGGCTCTGCTGTAGCCAGAGCAAGTCACACAGCTTGTCTAACTTCAAAGGGCTGGGAAGCTCATTTCTCTTTGGGGCCAGGATGAGAGAACCAAATCTTGGTGAATAGCACTAATGGGGAGGGTTGAGTCCTCCCTCTCCCCATTTCCCTCACTGCTCAACTGGGATCGGGAATGCTTCTCCATAGCCATTTTTTTCTTTTCCTCTAGGCACTGGAATTTTCAACTCTGAAGACACTGATAAAACTTTCACTTGGAAATGACCTGTGAAAAACTAGCAGTCCCCAGAGGCAAATTTTCATCATGCTTTTCCTCAAACATACCAGAGGTTCTCAGTTGTCATGATTTGGTGGGCTGGGAAAGCTGTTCAGTTTTGTATAAAAAAAAATTCTGCTTCTCTTCCTTGGATCTAGAAGGAAATAAGATAAGCCCTAGAGGCTGGCCCCAGTAGCTCCCTCTGGTTTAGCTCAGGCACCCACCCTCAGCCTAGGCTACCTCTGACCATCTTTCTTCCAATTTGAAGACAAGGTCCCCATGTTGCCTGTACCCATGACCCATCACACTTCTTCCTTGTATAATCAATGCTATTATGAATACTTCATTTCCCCATCAGGACATGAACTCTCTGGTCTTCTAGGACATTGATTTGATCCATCTAGAATTGTTCCTGCTGCAAAGATGGATTTTATGAAATTCATAAGATGGCTCAAGGAATGGATCTTTATGTTTTCCCTCAGGATCTTCTCTATGGGAGGTATTCTTTGTCTTTTGAGTGAAAGATGTATGGATGTATGGATATATGACTGGCTGCATGGCTAGATGCGAGGGTGGAAGAAAGGACACATTGAAGAATAAGTGTTTGAATGTGTACAAGGTCAATTAATATCTCATAGGGAGAAAGAACAAGGCCACTCCTCTCCCCAGATACTCCTGCTCATTCTGATGAGCCATCTTAGAGATTGGCTCTTCAAATAGAAGGGACCAAATGGAAGTAAGGATAACTTTGACCACTCTGCCAACAGAGCCCTATAAGTAGCAGAGTGTCACTCACACATGTAAATGACGATTCTCTGGTCATGATTTAGCTCTTTGAGACCACGAGCCAGAAGTGTGGGGTGATCCTGCTCCTTTGATGATCACTGTGGTACAGGCTGATCGTGTGGGAGAAAGGAGCAGGACAGGAATGCAAGAGGTTCCTGTCTAGAAGATGGCTTTGACAGGTCTCCGCTTTCCCAGTGAAATGTCCCCAAGCTGAGACATGAGACCTCCTCAGGCTCCCAGAGTCTGGTGGGACCAGGCAGCCAGAGGGCACCACCCAGAGTGACCTGCACCTATTTCCTCCACCTTTAAACAGCCTCAAGTATCATCTCCTCTTTCCAGGGAGAGCAGAACAGAGTACACATGGAATCTCCATGCCTGGCAGATCCCCCTGAGCAGAGACTGGAAGATGAGGAGGGGGCGGCAGGGAGATGTAGAAGGGCAGGAATGTGGTGTGCGTATCCAGGTGAAGGTGGGGACAGGGACTTAGATGTTCCTTTTTCCTTTAAAATAAAAAAAAAAGCAAGAGACATCTCCATGGTCTGCTATTTCTTTCCCATTTTGCCATCAGCCCAAAGTAAGATGCTGGGGACGGTTCCTCTGCTGGTCTTGGCACGGTGACGTTGTGTCCAGAGGAGAGCTCTCTCTGCCTTGGCCTTTCTTTGCTGTTCATTTTATATGAAAGACATGTGTGTTTGTAGAAGGAAGCCCAAAGGTTTGGGGACCATCTCCACACCAGAGGGGCAGGGAACTGTGACCTCACCAGCTCCATCTGGGCTGGTCACCAGTCCAGGGGAGAGGAGCACCAGGCCATGGGATAATGTTTGTGAGCGCTGGCTTTTTTTTTTTTTTAAGTCTCCGTGAGTAATTCCCTCCCAAGACACTGCCAAGAGCCCAAGTAAGAACCCAGCCCCACAGAATGATGCTCTGCAAACAGGTACCAAAGGATAAATGTGCTGTATTAACATGAATCCTAATGACAAACGCACTGCAGTAGTAAGCACATCATAGATACATAGAACATTCTCTCATATAGTCTGAACATAGATATAAAATAAGTTATACTTGTTTCATTTTCCATCACAGTAGGAGCATAGGCAACAAAGTGACTGGATCAGTGGCCATGGAGCAAGCCGGGGGAGAGACCACAAAGGAGGGTATAGGGCACTGAGTATGGAGGGGACTTGCCAAGGACACTGTAGAGTTTCTGGGGACCTTACAGGGCACAAGACCCCAATCCTCTTGAATCAGCCTTCTGAGAGTCAGCCCGAGGAACTGCCTGATAAGAGCTAGTGGCTGCATTTAAGCTGGGATGACTCAGGGTGTGTGTGTGTGGGGGGAGGTAAGCAAGGATCAGCACTGCCAGCACTCAGCAGGCCATCCCACTCCCCTGCTGGCGGCGTTGGGCTTCTCTGATGTTGGGAACTTGGGGCACACAGCCAGAAGGCACAGTTTGCTTCTATGAGGGGACAGATGGCCAGACTGATGGCTCACAAAAAGCTGGCTAGCCCTCCTGCCTTGCCAGCCTGCTCTGGGATGCTGCAAGGGGGCCTGCATGCCTGGGTGGCTCTCTGTGGTTTGTCACTGGGCAGCAGTGCTGGGATTTACATACGTCATAGCACAGGGACAAGTCTGTGGGTCTTCAAAGACCCTGGCTTTGAATCCTCACTCCATCATGTGCAACCTCTGCAAGTTTGGGAAGGTCACCTCATCTCTTCTGAGTCTCAGGTTTTTATCTTTTCAAAATGCACACCTACCTGAGACATTAATGAGGCCCACAGAGAATATATAAAGTGCCTAACACAGCTCCTGGCACACACGGGAGGGGCTGGATTAACTGAGGCAAGTCAGAACACCCAAATATCCTAGGCCAGGTAGAAAGAACACGAATCGGGCAGAATCATGGACTAGCATCACTCTGACTAATTTTGAGTAGACGACTATAAGATTGTTTCCTTGATTTTTTCTACCAAGTTTTTTTTTTCTTCTCTCTTACTCTGGGATTCTTTGAGATGAACTGCAGGCAGAGTTCAAAGCCAGGCTTGCTGAGGAGGACAAACCTCAGGTTTGGAGAGAAGAGTGAACAGGCCAACATCTCAAATAGTCTGGAATACGGTGCCTTGGAGGATGCTTCTCCACTTACCTCTCCTCCCACAGCTGTCCCCTCCCTAGCCCCTGGGTAGCTTTCTTATTAGGAAGCCAAAGAGGGAAAAATAAAAGCATAGAAAATAAAGCAAATTGCCTATTAAATGTAAAGCCTTTTCCATCTGCTCAGAGCTCGGGCACAGAGGCACTGGGGAATCAGGGAGGGTGGGCCATCTGTGGGCCAGTGAATTGCTTCAGGTCTCTGGGGAAGGGAAAAAGGATGGGAAAGAGATGCCGAGACACAGGTTTGCACTCTGGGACCTGGAGGTGCTGCTGTCTGTCTTTCTACCAATCCTGAGAACTTGGAGATGTGCCCAAACGAGGCTCAGCCTGAAACGTAGGGATCTTGGTCCCTTCCCATCTACAGTGCAGTTGTCAAGATGTGTGTGTGTGTGTGTGTGTGTGTGTGTGTGTGTGTGTATGCGTGTGGTTTCTGCTCCCATCCCTTCTCTAACACTGCCCGTGTGAAGCCCCTTTCCCCCATCACTCGGCAACTTTCCTCTTGGATGGGGGCACCAGGTGGGCGGGCAGCTCATTGGGCAGCTCGTGCCCCTCCAGCTTGACCTTGATGAGGTGATTGGCCAGTGCGAACTCCTCGTCATCCAACATGCCATCCTTGTCAATGTCGGCGAGCTTCCAGATCTTGCCCAGCACGCTGTTGGGCAGCTTGGAGCGCACCATCTCCTTCTTGGCATTAGCGCCTGTGATCTTGCCGTCCACGGGGGACAGGGTGTAGAAGATCTCGTCGTACATGGGCTTGTCCCGGGCGACCACCCACTCAACATCATCAATCCCCTCCTCGGCCCCCTCCCCATAGCCATGCCCGAAGGGGCCATGCAGGGTGCCCTCGAATGCTCCGCCCTTCACCATCTGGACAGGATGCTGGGTCTCCTCCTGGCGCACCAGCACCATCAGCTTGGCAATGTCGTGCGCCAGCATATCATCCACCACCTCCAGCAGCTTGCTCTTCAGTGGCTGGAATTTGCTAAAGTCCTGGGCCTGCAGCTGGTCCTGGGAAGAGAGAGGAGGAAAGGTAGAGATAGAATGCAAGCAAGGGTGATCCTCCATTTGTCCCGCTGGAACGTTGAGAGCCCTGCTCCTTTCCAATGAAGAGAGTTTGGCCAAGAGGCTAAGCTGAGCTACATCACAAAAAAATATCACCAATGTGAGAGGGGAGGAAGAGAGACCGGCCACTGGGGCTGAGGATAAGGTTTTCCAGGAGGCAGTAGAGGCTGGGGAAGAAAGGGATTTTAACAAACATTGGTCTATCTATTTAGACCCCTTTTAATGTTATTCCAGAGAATGAATCATTATGTTTCTCCTTAAGTTGGTTTTGGCTATTGAGTGGCAACGACTCTCAGTGGCAACTGAGACTGAGTCATGTGGACCTGTAACATGGGTTACCCTTGAACAAGGGGGAAAGTGCTCCCGTGACCTACCCCTGCCCCCGCCTTCCCCACTGTTGCGCTCCGAGGTAGGGAATCATAGTCCACCCACATTTACTGAAGAAAAATTAAGGCAACTAAAAAACAAATCATAATAAAAGCCAAGATCAACCTCAAACCCACAGTTCTTAATCAGGGCACTCACTGGAATTGCCTGGAGAGTGTTTTAAAGATTACCCCCACCTTGGGGGATTTGGACACAGTAGGCACAGGCAGGTCCTCAGATTTCGTAAAGGTGTCCCCTTTCGCCGTCTCATGCCACCCACCCACGTCAGCAAAGAAAGATGCTCCACTTTTCATGTTTGCAATTTTGATAGGACCTGAGTCTCCAACTCTGCCTCCTCCTTGGCCTCTAGAGGGTGGCAAGGAAGTGCTGTCCTCCTGCCCTGGCCTGCCCACAGCTGTCTCAGCATGCTAGGAAAAGGCCAGAGCACAGGCACAAGCACATCGAGTTCACTGTAGAAAAATTCAGAGAACACCCATAGTCACATTTCAAGAGCAAGTGTGAGATGGACGCTTTTCGCCTCCCTTCTAGGGCTGAGCCAGGGACATGATGAGGAAGAGGGTGTGGAGGGCAGAGCAGATGATGGCCTTTCTCTTGCCTTAGAACACAACTTTCCAGGTCCCTCCCACCTCTAGTTCCTTCTGTCTCTCCCAGCCTGTCCAGCCCAAGGTGGGTCTGGTGGGCTCCCATGTAGGGGTCCCCATGTCTCCCAGTGGGGAATGGCCAGCAGACCTACAGAACAGAATATCAGGCTGGCAAACAAATGGGAAAGTGAAAATCATTTGTTACAAGGATTCTTCACGTTAAAAAAGGGTCACATGGTCTGGTTCAAGTGTCACCTTTCCAAATGTTAGCTCTCAGTTCATCACATTCTCCACAAGAGGAAAAGAAGGCTGAAGGGTCCTAGGACATGACTGAGTGAGAACCCTGGATTCCACTAAAGCAGTTCTGGATCATGAAGGCTCATGGTAGGTGGCTATATGAAGGAATGGATCCAAGGACATATGCAAAATTGGAACGGGTATTTACTTTTATTCATCTTATTTATTTTTAAAAATATTTTGTTTTAAGTTATAGATGGGCCCAATACCTTTATTTTATTTGTTTACTTTTATGTGGTGCTGGGGATGGAACCTGCTGCCTCACACATGCTAGGCAAGTGTTCTACCAATGAGCAACAATCCCGGCCCTAGTATTATTTTTATTAGATAGAAAACTAAAAATGCCTATTTGGGACTAGTGGTATTTTGAATAATCCTAGCCTTAAAATGAGACACTGGTTCTCAGCCTGAAGATCAAAACAAGAATGGCAACGTCTATTTGTGATACATCCATGGCTGCTTTATTTTTGCCTTTTTAATTCAGATAATTAAAAAAAAAACAGCTCTTTAATTGCAAAATAATCATAGACTCATAAGAAGTTGCAAGAATCATATAGAGGGTATTCTGGGCTCACCACACAGTGCTACCTACTGTGACATCCTGCCCAGTGACAGATAGGAGTGTAAGGGCTCTCTGCCAGGGGCCTTGCAGTGACCTCCCTGATGTTCCCCACACCTGTGTACAGGGGGCCTTTGTGGCTTCTGTTTATAGAGGAAGAGATGGAGGCTCAGAGGATCCTGTCAGTATGATGCTGTAGCTTTCTGCTTTGACTTTGGAGCAGCTCTTGGCCTTGGTACCTGTACCCTATGTGAATATTGACCTTGGGAAACACTGAGACCTCAGCTTCCTCTTTGGTTAAAGACAGACAAAAATGCCTCTCTCTGAGGTCTGCCCTGGTGAAAAATCTGAGGAATCATGAACAATAGCCCCTGGTCCAGGATAGGCGCCTGCAGTGTGTCACAAAGATGGCAGGCTCCCTGCCTCTCCATGGTGTGAGTCCTGAATTGCTCCCAAGGGAGAGCACCCAAGGGCCTGGAGAACATAAGTCAGGTGACATGTCCCATTACACAGGAGATGGTGGTGCTGTCAAGCCTGTGGTGGCACAACTGGGGAAGGTCTTAAACTTGAGGTGATGGCGCTCTACACATCCCCTAATACACCTGTCCCCTGGGGCGGGGACTGGGCTCAGTTTCAAATGTGGCACCTGCTGTGCCATAGGTGCGGCAGTGAGGACAGGCCTGGGGCCTCCTCCGTGCCTCTGGTTCTGACTTGAGTCCCCCTGGGAGCTCTGAGGGTAGCTCCTCCACACTCCGCCACCAGCTCATGTGACCCCTTGTCTTAGAGCCCCTGAGCCTAGTTACCTGCATCCTTTTCAGGTTAGGGAAATCCCCAGGTGAGATCTGGTGCTCCCGCTCGATGCGGCCATAAATCTCAGCCAGGTTGTTCACCAGCTCCTTCTTCTTGTTGTCCTTCCCAAACACTGAGGGCATCTCCTTCTTCAGAAAGCTGATGATGTAGGCGTGAACCTGACAAACAGGGCCACAGGGCATCAGGACCCTGGTCTATTCCCCTCTTGGGGTTTCTCTCACTCTGCCCCTTCCCAAGAGCCCTCCCCTCCTCCTCCTCCTGCTTCTGAAATCATTTCTCCCCCTGACCCTCTTGCAGGGCTAGGCTGGGCAAGGTGAGGATGTGGGGAAGCCAAGGTCAAGGCAGCCAGGGGGTGGGAATGCTGTGGACCAGGTGCTGGGATGGGGCCTTCACATTCTTGGTTCCACTTTGTCCTCCAATGACTTTCATTTAATAGATGTGGAAAGAGGAGGAGAGACCAAAGGCCTGGCCATGCCTGAGGATCACACAGGTGGTAGGGCCGAGCTCCAGCCTGGCCTCTGACCCAGAGCCTACAGCCACCACCACCCCATTTTCCCACCCCCAGGGTGCAGCGGTTCAGCTGAAGCTCCTGGTGCCATGGCTATGGCAGGAAGTAGCCCAGTTGTTGCAGGCAACAAGTTTCAGCTCTTGCAGCTGACCCCCCAGACTCATGGCCCTGCCCATGCTGTCAGCTCCCCAGGGTCAGGCTCACCTTGGCCAGCCTGGCTCTCTTGATGAGGTCATTGAGTTTGCGCAGGGCGGCATTTCGAGGCAAACTCTGGATGTCCCTGAACAGGTCCTGCTCCTCGGCCTCAAAGAGCTTCCGATTGTCAGGGATGAGGAGGGGGTGGGACCAGAAGGAGCCGATGTAGACCCGGATCACCTCTGGGGTGTTCACGATCTTCCCCAGGGACCACATGAGGGCCCCGTACACCCGCATCAGCTGCTGCGTCTCGATCTGGTCGGCCTTGTTGAGCACCACCCGCATCTTGTCCTCGTGGTTCTTGAGGGCCTTGATGACTTCCGAGAACTCATCCGAGATGTCCAGTTTGTGGGCATCAAAGAGTAGGATGATGCGGTCCACCCGCTCGGCAAACCACTCCAGGACCGCGGCAAAGTCATACCCTGCGAGCAGAGGAAGAGTCAGGTGAGGGGCCTTGGGGGCATGGCAGTGGGGAGAGGCATCAGGGACAGTAGGAAAAACATGGTCTTAGGAATCCATCTGAGTTCAGATCCTGGCTCCTCCACATGGTGACTGTTTGGCTTTGAGTAAGTTACTCGGTGGGCCTATGTCTTTTCATCTAGAAAATGGGCAGAATACCTGTTAAGGTTTGGGCCTGCAATGTCCCTTGAAAGCTCACAGGTTGAAACATCGTCCCCCGTATAGCAAGGTTCACAGGTGGGCTTTTAGGCAGTGATTGGATCCTGAGAGCTGCACCCTCCACAGTGGATTAATCCATTTGAAGGACTGATAATATGAATGAAATACTGGGTTATCTGGGGTCATACTCTTGGGGATTAAATTTTATCCCTGGCTCCTCTCTTTCTCTCTGCTCCCTGGCTGCCATGAGCTGAGCGGGTTTGCGCTGCCATGCCCTTCCGCCATATTTCTGCCTTGGAATATTTCTTTCTCCAAGTTGTTCTTGTCAGGTGTTTTGGTCATAGCAACAAAAAGCTGACTAACAGAATGTAGAACCTAATTGATAGAATGATGAGGATTAAATCTCCTCTGAGCCCAGCACTTAGCAGATATTACTGTGAACACCACTATTCCCATGAAGAACACTGATCATCTAGCTCTCCTATTCTCACTTACTGCATTTGGCAGCCAGAGGCCCTGCTGGAAAAGGAACTCTAGATACCTAATTTGAATCAAGACTCAGAAATTCTTTACAAAGTCCCCCCCAAACAAGACAGAATGTATAAGTCACTGATGCATGGTTCAGACCACACCCATTGCTGGCCTGGAAGAAATCTGAGTTCTCATTACAACAGTGTGTGACTCAGCTCAGGCTCCTGGGTTACCCAGCACTGAGCTGCTTCATGTCCTGCCTGAACTCCAGAGGCCTTGCTTTGCTCAACTCCAGGTCATCATGGATCTGGGGAAGCAGAGGGAGAAGATGTCCCAAGTTCATACATTCGCTGTACAGACACACAGAGCTGGAAGAAGCCTTAGCTCCCCGTGCCTCATAACCCTCCTCCATGAAACAGGGATGACAGATGAAGAAGACAGGCTAAGGAGTTAAATGACGCGTTCAAACGTCCACGGCTCTTGATGAGAATGGAAGTGCCGGGCTTTCCTGTGGGAGTCTGAGCAGGGCTCCAGGGCCTCCTTCTGCCACTTCCCCAAGGCAGCCTCTGGCTCCAAGGCAGGGGCCTTTCCTTGGGTTCTGTGTGACTAACAATCCTGGCTCCTGTCTGCACAGGGTTATCAGGGATTACACCATGGGGACCAAAAACTCTTAGCCACTATTGTGCAGGAAATCAAGCTATTAAGGGAAATGCCATTAGTCCTGGCCCTGCCTCACAGAGGGAGGCCAAAGACCAGGCAAGGTCATTATGCAACTGCCTTGTGATTGAATCAGATGTAGGAAGCTCTGATGGTCTGTCTGTAACAGGGATCCTCAACTGGAGCCCAATCAGAATCCCCTGCAGGGCTTGTTAAAACCCAGGTGGCCTAATCCTATCCCACACCAGTGATCTAGGGTGGGAATTTCTTTTTCTTTTCCTTTTTTTTTTTTTTTTGGCACTGGAGATTGAACTCAGAAGCCCTTAACCACTGAGCCACATCCCCAGCCCTTTTTTGGTATTTTATTTAGAAACAGAGTCTCACTGAGTTGCTAGGGCTTTGCTAAATTGCTGAGGCTGGCTTTGAACTTGGGATCCTTCTTCCTCAGCCTCCCAAGTGGCTGGGATTACAGGCATGTGCCACTGCACCGGGCCTAGAGTGGGCATTTCTAATAAGTTCCCAGGAGGTGCGGCTGCAGCTCATCAAGGATCTCACTTTGAGAACCACTGTTGCATAACAATAATAGCTACTGCTTATACAGCATTCACTAGGCACCCAGCACTGCTCTAAGTACTTTATAATCAGTAACTCCTTAAGCTTCAAAATGACCCTATGAGGTCATTAATAACCAATAACTAATATGAGACCCAGTTTTAAAATGAATACCCAGAGACACAAGAAGGTGAAGTAACCTGTCTAAGGTCACCCAGCTAACAGGTGATGGGGCTGGGATCCAAATCCAGGTGGTGTGGCTGCAGACAGTGCCATCAGCTGCTACCCTGACCTGGCTTCTGGAGGCTGCCATTTCAGACTAAGCCACAGACTTCGATGGCAGAGGTCAGGGGATGAGGATGCATGGGGCAGGCTGGGGAGGTGGGCTGGGTTTTAGAGGCATTTTCTACTTATGACATCTTCTGAATGCCCTGAGACATACTTAGGGCATGTTAAAGCACTATCTTGGGGTTGGGGATAGACTTAGTGTGGAAGGGATAGCCTGCTGCCCCGACACTTCCCATTAAGGGGTCCCAGAGGGCCCCTTAATGCTACCCTGGTGCCATAAGGGAAACTGAACCAACAAAGGAATGTTGGTCCCTTTGGACACTCCCCTCTGTCTTCAACTCTCCAGTCTTGGGTGGATGAACTGCCTCCAGGCATACCCATCTTAGCGGACTTTCTCTACCTGGGCTCAGTTAACTCAGGCTTTCTCTCTCTCTGCTCATGTAGGGTAAATCACAAGGCCTGGGGAAGCTTCGGGAACAATGGTCCAAAAATCAGGGAACTGAGACTGGAGAAGGGAAGAGCAGGCCTACGTACCAACCCAGGAAGGCTCCTGTCCAGCGCAGGCCTGGTGCAAACTAGACTCCGCCTTCTCCTCCAAGGAGAGGTATCTCATTGCTGAGGAACAAGGCCCAGGAAAATGCCTCAGGGCCGACTGCATCTGGTAGCCAGGCAGGGCCATTATCAGTGCCTCTTCAGAGATGGCCGCGCCAGCTCTGCAAGGTTCAGTGAGTCAGTCAAGACCACGCTCTGTGGGAAGCAGCTCAGGGACAAGGACCTCAGACCTCCAAGTTCAATGCTAGCTCCAGCTGGCAGGTTCCTGCCCTGGCCTCACTTCACCTTCCCCACACTCTTCTGAAGAAGACAGTGAGAGGAACAGCATTCTCGTTTCCAGAGGGGAGGGCTGAGATTGGAGAGGAGGGGGTCAAACAGCTGGAGAGTGGTGGCTGGGCTGGACCTGGGCTCAGGGCACACAGGACCTCGAGGCAGCATTTCCACACGGGTCACCCTCTCCCCTGAACAAAGACCCAGCCAAGCCCTCGGGTTCCAGGTGGGCTGCAGCTGCTCCCTCTCTCCCTCTGCAAGAGGCACCAGCCTCTTTTTATCTCTCCTCCGTCAGAGCCTGCAGAGGGGCAGCTCACCTCCCAAGGCGGTCTCCTCACAGCCGCTGCTGGAAAGAGGGTCAGAGGGCAAAGAAAAGCAGGGCCACTGGATCCCCCTGTTCCAACCCCCACCCCCTGAAAACAGGTCCCAGCCTTGGGGCCCGGTGCCTAGAGCCAGTGAGCTCGGCCCTGCCTGCATTGCAGGTGGGAAGGGCCCTGGGTTCAGAGCCTCTGCATTCTGCCGACACCTGTTCCCCAACCCTGACATGGATTTTGGTGGTGGCAGTGGCAGGGCAGGATGCAGGGAGGGGCCCCAGGAAGAGCTTGCTGCTGTTTCCTCTGCCCGTCAGCAGATCTCACCCTCAGGGCCTCAGGGGCACACCTTGGCTCTGCTGCTCATAACCAGCCAAGGCAGCCAGCCTGGGCCCTTAAATGACAAGGAATGCAGGCTTAGAGAAGGCAGAGACCCAAGGCCACGCGGCAGCAGGGGTCAGAGCCAGGACCTCAGGCGTCCAACCTCAAGCCCAGCACTGTAGCCACCCCTTCAGGGGACTGGGGACAGCAAAGACATCAGAGAAGCTGCAGAGAGGAGAGAGGCTCCACCCCTCCAACCTGGCTCTGGTCCCGATGACACAGGCACACAGGAGGAGGTTGTGTCTCTGGGGGGAGGGGGGATCCCTGCCACCTGGCTACCCCCTGCTCTGGGACAGGGGGGGAGTAGCACCTAAACCAGCTGGGCCAGGTGCCCCTGTGGTCTCTTGGCACTCATGTGCCTGCCTGTCCTCTGCTCACTCCATGGAATTGTCCCCCACTGCCTTGGACGCTGGGCAGGACAGGGGAAGCCCCCTCCTTGGTTTCCCCTATACCCAGTGCAGAGCCTGGCACATAGCAGATGTTCCATCAGTGTTTGCTGGTCAGACCTGAAATGGGAGCTCTGTTCTGCATTTCACTTCTGGGAGACAGTGAACAAGTCATCTCTGCGCTTTGTTTTTCTGGTTTCTAAATTAGAATCCACGAGTGCTTTGGTCATAGGGTCGTCGTGAGGATAAAGTCAAAGAAGAAGATGCTGGAGAAACTATTTAGCTGTGACCAGGTAATTCATGTCGCCCTGCTCCCTTTATTAAGAACTCCTATACACCAGTTCCCAAGAGAGGGGATGTGCTCTAAATGAGTCATCAGAGGAGCACTGGTCTGGGTGAGTGACCTCCAGTTTCTGCTTGGCCATTAACTTGCTGTGCATCCTGGGCAAACAGCTTCCCCTCTCTGATCCCTGATCTCTTTGTTTGTCAAAACAGAGGAATAAGTTGGATGATCTCTGACTTCCATTCTTGGTTCAAAATTCTTTTTTGCTTCTAAGATTACAGGAGTGCAGATGGAGAGCACAGTGGGGTGGATGATGATCAGGCACAAAGATGCCTTTGTATGGGCTCTTGGGGTCCCCTCTGAAGTGTGCCCTGACTGCTCCTGAGCCTGTGGGACCTCTGAGAAGATATGTAGTTGCTCCCATGGCCTGGATTTACGTGCGTAACTAGAAATGGAGGCATCTCAAAGGCACAGACTGGACCCAGTGAGGAAAGGGGCACAGGATTAGCTCCCCCGTTGACTTTCTGTGTGGTCTTGGGTAAGCCTGAACCTTCATTTTCTTAGTTGTAAAATGAGGATAACAATGATTGGCTGAATAAGGAGTTTGTGGAGGAGCCATGGAAATAAGATCCAACAGTGGACATAGGCGTGGACTTTGTCTGGAGATGGCCCTACTGTCCAGGGTGAATGACATGCCCAGTGACAGGCCCCCTTCTCCTCCTTGGTCCCATGAATGGCTCTGAGTCTTATCATAGCTGCTCTTGAGCACCTGTGGCAGCCCGGGTTCATGGGTTGGGGACACAGAGGACACAAGCTGCCCTGCCGGAATTCCTCCTCGTGGGTCTGCTGGCTCCAGGAGATTTGGGAGGCAGGCTCCACATCGGAGACTGGGCAGCCTACAGGGACCCTGGCTCACTGGCCAGGCTCTGGAGGACTGGAAAGCTTTCTAAGTAATGCCAGGCAGGAGGAAATCAATGAGACAGACCCAACAGGCAAGGAACTCCTGGATCACCTGGTGGCTTCCTTTACAGTCTGAAACGCAGGGCGGGGCACAGACCAGGCGGCACTTCTCTACACTTTCAGCTACACAACAGACCTCCCGTGACCCTCGAAACTCTCTGTGTGCCAGCAGGTGAACAGATCGTCCCTTCTTACAGGGGAGGGACTGGGGCAGGCAGTTAAGGGGCTCACGAAGCTGGCAGTGGCCAAGTCCAGCCTAGAACCCAGATCCACGTGGTGTTAGCTCACAGGCCCTGGAGCTCAGAGGACAGAGCTCGCCAGCCAGACACCACTCCCCCCAAATCTGTCAAATTCGAGATATTGTAGAAAAAATGAAATAAAAAGTCAGCCATCTCCAAAATGTGGGCAGAGTTTGGCTGACATCAGGGAATAAATGCCACCCAGGATGTCTCCTGGATGTGACCACAAAGAGTGGCCTAAGTCGATGTGTCATAGGCCTCCAGACAACCACAAAGCCTTCCCCAGGCCTCTTGAAGGGTGTTCAAGAGCAGCTCTGCTGCTCTGCCCGGGCATGGACTTGCCAGCACACAGTCAGGGAGCCCCAGGGGGCCCTAAGTGCAGATCCAGCTCCAGTGGGCACTAGGGACTGGCCTGTATGAGGCTGTGAGGAGCCACCCAAGATGCCCCATGGTCTGAGTCAGATCTCCAGACGCAACTCCTGGATGGGAAGTTTGCTCTCACTCCTCCCGCTGCACTCTTCCTGGGCAGGTGATGATAAAAAGCCACCAGGCTGGGAATCAGGGAGACCAGGGTTCCCACTCCAGTTGTGTGACCTTGGCACACTGGTACCTGCTCTGGGTTTGCTGAGCTTATAGGGCACAAGAAGGCACCTGCTGGGAGGAGGCATGCAGCTGTGCAGCGGGGGATGTGAGCTCAAAGCTCCGGGCTGGAGGGCATTTCTAGCCCAGAAGCAGCCAAGAACTGTGGTTCCTAAGTGTGAGAACTGGCGGACTTCTGGAGCCCTCCCCTTTCTGCTGCATCCTCACTTCTTCCCAGTAATGTTCCCGGACAGGGCACATCCGGTCACTTCCAGGAACTGCCACCCTGCCTGCCTCTCCTGCCCACCCCAGTGCATCTTCATCCAGAGATAAGAACTGGCCTGGAACCCTCCACACTGGCCTCCCTGAATAAGACTCATGCATTTCCCCAGCCCCCGGCAAAGGGGCCACCCCCTGAGCAGGGACCACACTTTCCCTGGGGCCCCAGTGCTCCTCAGCATGGAGCCTAGGTCTCGGGATCCCTTGGGAGCAGCTCACTTTCCAGAAAGTGCCTTTGTGCTGAAGTGACACTGATGTTCCTTGCTGGTGAGACCAGCCCTGTGCCAGCTTGAGGCTTAGTGAGTGCAACACGGGCTGAATTTCAGCTTCTATGCACTCCTCTTGCAGGGCCTGGTCTGCGGGACAATCCACAGGGCTCTGGCCTGTGCTGTGCTGGTCAGAGAAAGGGAAAAAGCACCAGATCCGCTCTGAGGTCAAACTCAGAGATCCGGAAGGCCCAGGCAAAGGCCCTGACAAAGCCAGATCAGTCCTGAGGACATACTGTGAGCCCGGGTGGGGAGGAAGGTGCCTGGGTGGGGAGAATGGGGATTCGGCTCTGCATATGAGCTTGTGGGTGGGTGCAGGGAGGCAGGGGGAGGGCTGCGTGTGTAGGTTTGCACCGGAACTCTGGGTTCTGTGGCCGATAGTGAGGAAGGATGGGAGGGGCTCTGCACACTGGAAACTTTCCCCCTCTGGACTGCCCCTGATAACTGAGGGTGTCCGAGACCTGCCCTTGACTCCAGCCTCAGGGTGCTGAGGCTGCCCCAGGCTGGCAACGTGGTGCTGCGGCCACTGCCAGCTCTTGTTTCCACCACAGTCTGCTTTTGCCAGCAGCTGCCTTTGCAGCCTGGGCTCAGGAGGGCAGAGAGCACACTGGCCTGCAGAGCCAGGCCTGGGGCCATTGCTTCTCCCAGCGGTGAGCTGCCTGGTGCTTAATCAGCATGGGAGGGGAGGTGACAAGGAAGCGCAGACAAGAACATCAATACCCAGTTTATGAAGGAGAGCCTCTGGGGTCTAGAGACAAAGGCAGGAGAGAAGGTGGAAGAACAGGAGAAAACCAGAATGGAATAGGGACTGAAGAAGGTGGGAGTCCCTAGGAGCAGGGCTGCTGCCTCCAGCTGCACAGTCTGTGCACTGTACAAGGGCAAAGGAGATGGTTCACACAGGGTTGTAGAATGGGGGTCCTGGATGGCAGGCAAGGAGGGCAGGAGGGAGCTCGCCATGATGCAGAGGTCTGAGGTCTGTGTTTCCGTTATGGTCTGCGGACCTCACAAGAAGGCCAGGTAATACATGTTATTTCCCCCACTCCTCATGAGGACCCTGAGGCTCAGGGAGACAATGGAACCGATTGAGACCCACAGCGTTCTGAAGCACAGAATTCTGAGCCCCTCGTTCAGTGTCCTTGGGGTCCACTCTGGCCCCACCTGGGCTGTCAGGCTGCAGGAGCCTGCAGCAGCCACACCTGGACTTGAGAGGTGCTGGTTCTCACAGTCTTTGGTGAGTGGACATGGGCTGCCTGGGAAACAGCAGAGCCCCTCTAGGCCTACACTCAGATGAGCCACTTGGGGGCAGGGATGGGGTAGGAGGGAGGGACAGAGAACCACCCCAGCTGCCCCTCCACAGGGCGCTGGGTAGGGAGCCAGGTGCATCTAGGCAGGAGGGAGGAGGTGGAGGTGCCTACTCTTCCCAGGGCTGCCCCGACCCTTTCACAGGGGACATCATGAAGTCCCAGGGTTCAAAGGCCAGGAACTTACAGGAACTTACAGGGAACAAAGACCCTCCTGACTCAGCTCCTTCCTTCCCCTCTGCTTCCCAGAGTGTGTGTGTGTGTGTGTGTGTGTGTGTGTGTGTGTGTGTGCACACCCGTGCGTGCGGGGCTTTCCTGCTCAGGACTCTCAGCACCCTCCCCCTGCTCCCTCCAGGATGAAGTGCCCCTTAAGGACCTACGGGGTTACTGGCCTCGCTTCTCCAGCAGGCGACTACTAGGCGGCCTCTCCGCTCTCTCCTCTCCACCGCAGCCAGGGCTGGCTTTGCCCATTCACACGCCACGGTGTACCTCCAAAGGGCTGCCCCGCACCTGCCCTCACCTGGGGAGAGCTGCTTTCCTCAGAGAGGAAGCCCAGGCGGCCCCCAGGAATGCTAGACAGAAGCCCAGTTCTGGCACCAGAGGCCTGACCTGGCCCAGGGCCTGCGCCACTGGGTTTCACTGATACACAGCCTCAGGAGTACTTGCCTGTCACCCTGTGACTTTCAGGGTCCTGGGGTGAGCACATGCTGGCCTAGGCAGGCCATGAAGGGGTTTCTGGGCCCCCACAATGGTGGCACAGACATAAGACAGGACAGAGCCATGGGGCACAGAGGGCAAGGCACATGTCACCCGGAGGCAGATGTTACCGGAGGAGCATTCTGGCCGCTTCCCAAAGAGAGCTGCGGGTCCAAAGTCATCCGTTCCACAGCTGATTTGGTTTCCACTCCCGGCTCCCAGCTAGAGTGCCGGGGGCGGGGGGGGGTGTGTGTGTGGCTCCTATGACTTTCTTGCCAGAGAGGGTAGGGACCACCCAGGGCACACAGCAAATGTGGCAGGAGAGACTGGGGTGGGGACCCCAGGGCAGGGTTTTTTTTTTCTTTCTGCATGATTGGCCTTGCATTTTAGGGCTAGAAAAGTCGAGACGGTGGTGACAGTGATGATGATGAGCTACAGAATCTTGTGTTTCCTGGACGCTGGCTGTGTGCCAGGCAGAGTCATTTTTACCTACACTGTTACGTTTTAATCCTCAAACAAGACAAATTTCGACAGAAGTGAAGATAAAGAAACCAGGCCACTCTGCCAGGAAAGGACAGAGGCAGGTTTAGGACTTGCCAGTTGGCCCTGGCCTTCTGTCCCCTGCCTACTGTGCTGGTGACCTTCCTTCACAAGCAATCACCCCGTATCTGTCTGCAGGGAACAGTTTTCCACGTATTTTCACACACCGGTTCCCTCCTCTATGACTCTAGCACGCTGTCACAACCTGCCACTGCATTCACCCAGGTCAGCTGGGCTGAAGCCCTCCCCTCAGAGCTACGGGCGCTGGAGAAGCCGGGCTAAGTGCCTTGTGGAGGAGTCAAAAACTCCCTGAGGAAGGCGGATGCTGACTTTCCATTTTACAGATGAAAAGACTGAGGCTGACTGTCTCCTCGGCTCCATGGGACCTGAACTCATCAGCTGGCTCCTGCCCAGGGCTGCCCCATGTAAAATGGCCCCGTGCAGCATATCGGTACTGGCCTAAGGGACAGCAAGACCCTGGGTGCTTTCCTTCTGACATGGAAGAGTGAACATTCCAGAACATATCCGAATGTGCCACACAGCCCGGAGTCAACACCCGCCTGGCCTCTCACTTACCTCTGCTGATCCTCTGCTTCTCCCCAGAGAGGATCCCGGGCGTGTCGATGACGCTGATGCTCTCCAGCACGGCATTGGGCAGCTGGGCACACACGAACCTGCGTGGGGGAGGGCAAGGCCAGAGAGCCACTCAGGCTCTTCCCAGGACTCACCTGCCTCCCGGACAGGAACCACAGCTGTGTGCCCAGGGGTCTCAATTCCCCAGCGTGGGCCTGCCCGTACAGGGTGTGGGCGACAGCTGATCTAGAGGCTGAGCCCCAGTTCTCTTGTCTGTTCACCTCCGGTTTGTGTCAAACGCTGCCTGGCCAATAGGGCTATTCCATGGTGACAGCCCATCCCCAGGTGTGACTCGATTCTTATGGCTCCAACTCTAGTTGGGCTTTGGTCAGCCACTTCCTTCCTTGAGCGGCTTCCCTCCGCTTGGCCTTCTCTCAGACCCTCAGCCAATCAGAAGACCCCTGCCTCCTCTTTGTAATGGGCCCCTAGGGACAGGACAGCGGGGACTACGGGGTCTGCGGTCAGTGTGTGGGGAACCCCCTTCTAACCCACTCCCAGTGGCAGGCAGTCCCTGTGCCTCCTGAATGTGTCCTCATTCATGAACTGTACCCTGTGCATGACAGTACGCGGTGTCACCAGACAGAGGATCACAAGCCTGACTGGCAGCAGGCCAGACTGACAGCACCAGCCATGGGCCTAGGGATCTGTACTGTGAGGAGCTCCTGGGTGATCCCAGGCAGCCGTGGCTCATGCTTTTAAACCCCTGCTGCTGGGCCACCAAGATGCCCAGATTTCAATCCCTGCCCTCAAGGAGCAGAGCCTGGTGGAGGAGAGGAAGCCCACCCACAGGCGACTACAGTCCAGGGTGCGCCCTGAAGCCTGCACCTTGGAAGATCCAAGGCGGCCAGATGGGCTCCAGGGAGGCTTCTCCAGGAGAGGCACTGGGACTGGCCTGGAAGGATGGGTCACAACACCCAGGAACATTGATCTGGGCAGCTAAAATGCGACTCAACTGCCAAGCATTGCTCTAGGGCAACAGTTGGGCCTTATTCTGGAGGGGCAGGGGAGCCTCTGGCATGAAGCAGCTTGGAGAAGCAACTAGAAGTCTCCGGCGCAGCACTTGGTGCAGGACGCAGTGAAGCTGGCAGCAAATGGAAGAAGGCTTCCCTGTTCCCTGCTGTCCTTTCAACAAATGAAGATGTGCTTTCAGCCGCTGAGACCCTGCGTCAGCCTGGTCAGCCACCACCTCAGTGGTGAGTGCTCCTGGAGAAAATCCCAGAACTTACAAAGCCATCTAGCGTGCAGTCACGGAGCCGGGCCTTTCATTCCTTCCTGCTTGTAGTTTCTTCTCTCCTTAGTTTCCCCCGCCTGGAATGTCCTTTCTTTTCTCCTTTCAGTGTCATTTTATCTGTCTTGTTAATGCTCAGGCCAAATGCTAACTTTCCCTCAAAGGCCCCTCAACTGGATTACCCCCTGCCCGTGTGACCCCTGGCCCTCTGCACGCCTGATCCGCTGCGTCTGCCTGCCCAGTCCCACCGTGTCCGGCAGAGTGGACTCCTGGCTCCTAGAGCGGGGCCTGGTATCTGTTGAAATAAACCCTGAATTTCATCCTGCATGAAAGTATCCAGGAGGGAGACAGGGTGCAGCCCTCTGTATGGCCACCTTGCTCGTGTGCCTTCTTGCAGGCAGTGCCCAGGCCTCTCTGGCCAAGCGGGATCTGCCTGACTCTGTTTCCTGAGGCTGAACAGTCTAATCAGGGAAACCCCAGATTTAAAAAGAAATTCCACATCCCTTAACAGTGTTCCCCTAGAAGATCATGCTATTCTTTTCATGAGCTTTCACACATATTCTCTCTAAATTGTTTTTAATAATATTTTACGGTATACTTTTATGGTCAAAAATTTTTTTTAGCAAGGCATACAATGAAATATAAAGGTATCTCTCTCCCCCATCCTTCTCCCCTGTCTGTTCTACTACCTAAATGTCAACAATCATAGGAACGACTCTATAGTTGTTTTTGTTTTTCTCTCTTGGATTTTCTTTATACAACATTTGCAGGAAGAGATAGAAGCGCAGGGAATTTGCACTATGCATTCTATCCTTTTATAGATGCAGACAGTAAGACTGAAAGAAGTTAAATGTCTTCGCCCCCACCCAACCTCCTGGTTTCCATATGTCTAACCACAGGTGTTGTGGTTTGGATGTGAGATGTCACTCTAAAGCTCACCTGTGAGACAATGTGAGAGGGTTCAGAAAAGAAAGGATTGGGTTGCAAGAGCCTTAACCCAATCAGTGAATTAATTACCTGATGAGATTGAGTGGTAAATGAAGGCGGGTAGGGTGTGGGCACTGGGGGTGTGGCTTTGGGGTGTGTATTTGTATCTGGCAAATGGAGTCTCTCTCTGTGCTTCCCGATCATCACATGAGCTGCTTCCCTCCACTACGCTCTTCTGCCATGATGTTCTGCCTCACCTCGAGCCCCAAGGAATAGAGCCTGCTGCCTGTGGATTGAGACCTCTGAAACTGTGAGCCCCCAAATAAACTTTTCCTCCTCTGTAGTTGTGTTGGTTGGGTCTTTTAGTCACAGCGTCAAAAAAAGCGGACTAAAACAACAGGGTTGCTGACACCAGCTGGTTTGATTAATGACACAAAGAGCCCTTTGCTCTCAGAGGGCACCCAACATCTGGCACACATAATAGACTATATGCTCTATCATATTACACCATATGTTATTATCGTTATGAGCACAATTGCTCAGAAGGGGGTTACCCACTAACCCTACACTCATCCTTCCCATGATCCCAGCTGCCTCTTACATGCCCGGGCTTTACTCCCCTCTGGCCTGGGCTCTAGCCTTCAGATGGATGATGCCCTCAGCTCACTCAGAGTCAATCACTGCAAACTCAAATTCCTCAAGCCCTTCCCAGATGTCCCCACCTCGGTTCACCACTGCTGCCACGTTCCTCTCCATCAGGCTCACCCTGCCTCCACCCATTTCTGTGTCTCAGCATCCTGGGTGTTCACCCTCCCCTCTACCCTGGACCAGAACCTCCTCACCCAGCTCCAGAATCAGAGACACTCTTGAACTCCAGGACACCTGTCCCAACTCACCTTAATCCCACTAGTGTCCCAATATTACACTGACCCAAGCTTCCCGCCCTATGTCAACACAGCCAGCCTCCTGTGCCATGCTCTCTGCCAGGCCAATCCCCTCCGTTTCTCAACACGACCGTCCCTCTGCATCCCTGCTTTGGGAGCACACCTGCCAGCCTGCAATGCCACATTACCCACATGATCCCCTGCTCATCCCTGTCTCAATTGACTCCAAGTCACTATACGAAAGGCCAGAAATTGTCTTATAGAAAATCTCACACAAGAGATGTTGAAAATTCTTTGGCCAATGAGTCTCAACTTCTACAACTGCGGCTGCCCATTTCCCTCAATGAATAATTGAGGAATCAAATTTTAAAAATACATGGTAATTCCAGGTGTGGTGGCACATGCCTGTAATCCCAGCAGTTGAGGAGGCTGAGGCAGGAGGATCAAGAGTTGAAAGCCAGCCTCAGCAAAAATGAGGTGCTAAGCAACTCAGTGAGATACTGTTCCTAAATAAAATACAAAATAGAGCTGGGGATGTAGCTCAGTGGTTGAGTGCCCCTGAGTTCAATCCCAGGTAACACCCCTTCCCCACAAAATGATAATACTACTACTACAACAGTTTTGGTGGCTCCTGTGTGCTGGATACAAAATGTTTTCTGTTCATTATTTCGCTTCTCTCTCCTTTAACTCCTTGAAAAAAGATATTACTACTATCTCCTTTACAGAAGGGGAAGTCAGACACAAAGGAATTTGGTGGCTTGTTCAAGATCCACAGTAAAAGGCAGGAAGTGAACCCACATCTATCTGAAGTCAAAGCCTTTATACCCCTCCAATTAGAAAGGGTCATTTTAAAATTAAGTGCAATGCATGTGTAAAACGGGACTTGTAAGTCTAACTAATGTGATGGGGGGTGGGCCTGCACTCTAGTTAAGCAGGATAACGCCCAGAATGCCCAGATTGTCTTGTCAAGCACTCCTTAGAGCTTTCTCCACTTGAATCCTCATGATGACTTTGGTGTCTACAGGCTGAACTTGTCCCAGGTAGTAGTAGGAGAGTGTATATTCAAATCCAAGCCTCTCCCTAAGTTCAGGTCCTTCCTCCAAGTAAAGCAACCTCCAGAAACAGAAAAGAGACCCTTTCAACTGGGTGCAAATGGCAGCCATGATATAGGCAAATGCCAAGAAATACACAGTACCCTCCTTTTTTATTGGAGGTCGAGGCAGGTTGGTTGGGAATGTGATCTAAATCATTATACCCTCACCAGCTCCCCCCCATCAGAAGGTATCAGTCCAGCATTTGCAGTTCCCACATCTGCGATGGCGACTGTCTCAGTTACAGTTCTAGGAAGGATGGGATGATCAAGAGATTCTGGTATGGAAAAAGCAGTGAGCCTCCCAAGACTGTGCTGCCTGTCCATTCACCTCCCATATTCCAAGAAGTGGCAAGGAAAACACCCCAAGGTGTGGGTTCCCCTCCACACTCACCTGTTCAAGAAGGCGTTGCCAAAAACGTTGAGTTTCCTGAAGGGTTTCTTAGGATCCACTACCAGGGCATTCCCAGGGATGATCCCCTCCGTGTCTCCTTGCATCACCGCAATGAAGGAGTCAGTGGTTGGCTCAGGTCCAATCCTCATGCCTGGAAAATCCTGTTCCAGCAGGTACCTGGCAAAAAGGAGAAGTCATGACGCAGGGATTCTGCTTTCAGATCACCACCGTGTATCTACCACAGGGCTGACAATATGCAAGTCACAGTAGGGATCCAGAGCAATGAGATTTCACGAATCCCAAGGACTTTGCAGAAGAGGTGGAATACAGCTTAACTTCAGATATCCTGTACTTCTTGGTCCTTTTCCCTCCTTGAATTAGTAGCGGGGGCAGGTGAAGGAAAGCCAGGTTTGAACTCAGGAATAAAGACTGCATTGAAACTGAATCCTACCTAGAGTACTGTAGACTTCCCAGCTGAAAGGTAGGTAACCTGCTGACATTTCTAAACAAAGGCATAGTAAGAATCAGACCAGTCATAGACGATGCTGGCTTTTCATAGGTTATTATTCTTATGTCTGGATAGTTATTCAATATAAAATTAGCTTGTATATAATGTAAAATAAAAACAGTGTGAAGGGTCAACTATGAAAAGCAAATCTACATCCCCAACCTAGACTTCTGGTCCCACTCTCTAAACTTTGCATTCTGTATCCTTTTAGAACTGTCTCATTTGCACACGTGTTATGCACAGAAACAGACACAGAGAGGACTGAATTTTTTAAACACAGAGCAGACTGCACATCTTTCCTTCTCTTTGTCTTTCTTGTCACATGCATTTAATTCAAACTTTCAAGCACGAAACTATATTCAAAATGCCATGCACGGTACCTGGCACAACACAGATTCTTTTTGCCATTGGGCATCAAGAAGTTTGATTTTCAATATTATAGACCATGTTGGGATTCCCTGATGGAGATTTTAATTGTGTGTGTAGGGTTTTTTTTTTTTTTTTTTGGTACCAAGGATTGGACCTAGAGGTGTTCAACCATTCAGTCACATCCCCAGCAGCATCTCATCTTTTAAAATATACCTTTTATTTTATTTTTACACCGTGCTGAGGATGGAACCCAGTGCCTCACATGTGCTAAGCAAGCACTCTACTGCTAAGCTACAACCCCAGCCCCTGTGCTTTGTTTTAAAATGCTTTTATTTTTTATCTGCTCCACTGAGAGAGGTGTCAAACCTTATCTTTTATCTACCGATGCTTTTTGATTGTACATGACATCCCCCCACAAGCCCTCCCCCCAACAAATGCAATTTGTAACCACAAAGGATATGAGCAAGGGTGGGAACTCAGGGCCTGCAATGATTTTGCAGATAATATCCATGTATATGTTTCTTTTCATGCTTAATGTGTTTGGCAGAGAGTAGCCAAGACCTACTTTATTCCTCTTGGTAACAATGTAGAATTCCATTATATAGATATCACAAGTTGTTTTTAGTGAAAATTTTACTACCTTTTAACACTTTCCATTGCCTAGATGGAAGAAAATGGTGGTAGAGGATTTTAAACACCGTGTCAACCAGAGAGGAGAAGGAGAGTGTTTGTTATGGGATGAATTTGTAACACATCCCCTTCCTGAACCTGAATGTGAGCCAGGAGGTGGCGGGAAATACCAAAGAGCTCATCCCACTGGCTCACCATGGGTCAGTCCTCAGGCAGGTCCCTCTCCTCTCTGGACATTGCTACCTGTGCATTAGGAGACTGGGCCATGTGATCTCCAGGGTTTCTCCTGTTCAAAAAGTCTGTGCTACCCAAGCCCCTCTGGAAAGGGGAGAGGGGTGGTGAGCTGCCTGCCCCTGAGCTTCTACTGTGCCCTGAGTTGGCAGGTGCCTCCCTCCTCTTATCTGGGCCCAGGCAGTGAGAACCCGAGGCCACCTGCCTCTCTCTGCAGCCTCCTTCTAGAGACCAAGAGCAATGGCACTGTGAGCCAGGAAACCAAGAAAACTGCCTCTAAGGACAAGGGAGCCCTTTGGGAGCCCAGGACAGCTTTGAGCACAGACAGCAGGAGGCTGGACTGAAGGAAGAAGCCTGGAACTGCCTTGGAGTGGGAGTGGCTGCAGGAGAGTCACAGGAGCATCTTCCAAGGTGCTGATGGACAGGATCTAAAGGACAGCACCCAAGAAACCCACATCCATGGGGTGAGCCCTTAGGAGCCCTGGGAACCTCTTTATAACCTGAGGGCTGGGGTCGGCATTCATGCTCAGGGAGTCCTCAGAAGAGATGTCAAGTTGGAGACTATTCAGTTGAGAAGAGAACTGGGGAGGTCTCCTGCTCTGTGGTCCTTGGCCCTGGCTGCAATTCAAGAGCTCTATGAAGCATTAGCTGATGGTGTTGGGCTGACCCAGAGCTTCTAACCTGTTCAGTCAGGGGCAGGGTCCTAGCAATTGCCACCTTTTAGAAGTTCCCCAGATGGCTCCACCATGCAGCCAGGATTTCTAATTTGCTCCCCATCAACCCTTTCATTTTCCTGAGACTACATGCTGATATCCAATAGATTGGGTGGAGCCAGGGAGGCATGCTGGCTGTCTTCGGATTCTCAACATGCTACTTGTGCCTTGGAAAAGTGAAAGGCAATTGGAGCTGCACTTTACCCTGCAGTTCCATAGCAGTATAAACTGGGTTGCTATGCACTGCCTCCCCAGGGAGCCTGAGGAAGAGCTGTGGCAGCTGCAAGGAAGTTGTTGATCTGCTTTAGAACCTGCAGCCCTGCTGCCTGGGAGGCTGCACCCTGGGTACTGGGTGGGGAGCTCCTCATTCCTCCAGAAATCCAGCCCAACAATCAGGGTGTGAAGGCAGGATTTCCTCTGGTCAGAGGGTCAGGTTGGAGCTGGCACCAGCCTGGGATGAGAATAAGCACACAGTTACACACGTGCATGGCGCTTCCTGCTTTCTTGTGCGCCTTCACTAGGTCTCGAGGGAGAGGCTGGGAATCTCAGTGGCTTGGGGCCAGCCGTTGGGATTCTGCAGCATCCTCCTAGATAAGAGGAGGGAGACACCTGCCAACTCAGGGCACTTTTGCTCCAAAGACATGCAAAAGCAGTTTCTATTAGGTGACCAAAGCAGGACACAGGCCCACGGGCTCACTGTAGGACCAGATTATCCAGGAGCACCACTCTGTGATTTGGGAATGTGCTTGTTTGAGAAGTTTCTTGCTGCAAGAATGAGTTGTTGGGGTGAGAGGGAGTCAAAAAGGCTCCAGGAACAGCCGAAATAGAGAGGGGTGGGAAGAACCATTCTGAGGCAGCTTCCAAAATGTCCGAAATGAGCAGGGCCAATCAACAGTGAAGAGGGATCCTTCTTACACAGGCTTCTCAAATTCCTCCCTGAGAGGTTGGATGTACCCAGCAGACAAAGGGCTACGCTGCCTGGTTTAACAGGATGGCTTCCTGGGAAGTCACAGAGTGCTACCTGAGATGGCCACAAAAAAAGGGCCTCGGGTAGGATCTGCTGTCCTGCAGAGCTCACATGACCCAAAACTTGCTGACCGCTGTGGACCTGGGGAAACACAGAGTCTAAGGAGGCCAACAGCAAGTCCACGGGGCACAGTCAGGTCATGCAGAGAGCCTGGGGCTGGGTAAATTCTCAGGGACATTTGGGTATGGCTTGAGGCATCCAGTGCCCCTCTAACAAAGCTACCACTGTGTCCAGAAAGGAAAATCTATTGAGGAATCTCATGCACTGCCTCTTTATGGGAGGCAAGACAGATCGCCTCTGTTCCCGGGTGAAAACATTCCCACAGCAGTGTAAAAAAAGAAAAGTTAATTCAAGCCTGGGTGGGATCAGCTGAGATGGGGACACACAGGATAAGGAGGAACAGGATGGGCTAAGCTTCCCCTGTGCCGCCAGCACTGTATTACTCTACTAATCAGCCCCATGGGCTCTGTGGCAAGGTAGCATCATTTCAGTTTTACCATTGAGTAAAGTTCAGAGCCAAGTTAACATATTTAGAGGTCTTAAGAGCTAAAAAGATAAGGGTGGGCCCCTTTTCCTTGCCATCTAATGCAAAATAAATAAATTATAAATCATAAAATAGGTGTGGGAAAAGCCAACGCAATTCTGATTTTTCTCATGAGACTACTTTTCTCCACGTTTCTTTTTTTCTTTTCTTTTCTTTTTTTTTTTTTTTTTGTGGGAGTAGGGTACTAGAGAGCAAACTCAGGACACTCAACCATAAGTCACATCCCCAAGCCCTATTTTGTATTTTATTCAGAGACAGGGTCTCACTGAGTTGCTTAGTGCCTCGCTTTTGCTGAGGCTGGCTTTGAACTCTCGATCTTCCTGCCTCAGCCTCCTGAGCTGCTGGGATTACAGGTGTGCACTACCAAGCCCAGCTCCACATTGTTTTCATTTTTTATGCACTGCTTAGATGGCGATCCTAGTATGTGGCCTATTTTACTGTGACCTAAGTACCCAGGGTACGGTGTGGAGCCAAGGATCTTAACCTAGCTGTTTCTAACTACCCATTTCTGTAATAGGGGAGCCCAGACTTCAGGTTGCTGCTGGAACCAAGTGCAGGGGAGAGAAACAGAGGTTGGGGATCTGCTTCTGGAGGCTTTGGGCTGAGACAGGTCCCCCAGCTCAGATGAAGAATACACCCTCTAGGGAGGATACTTCCATCACCAACATAACTGTGGACAATGGCCCAAAAGCCCAACAACACTGGTCTCCCTGGTTTTTAAAATGGAGAAAATACTTGGTTTCTAACTAACTCAGAAAGTGAAAGTTTTTGAGGGAATATATAAGGGTTCGGGAAAAGCAAATGCTACTGCTGACATTGGCCCACATTGGCAGAGACAATAATTAGAGAAAATGAAGCCCTCCATGTTGCCGGTGGGTGCTCAGCACATTCCTACCCAGTGTCCAAACCCAATTCAAATGCCTCCCCGTGCAGCTTCAACTGATTCATTACCCCCTCACCTAAGCCCGATGTGTTCATTCTTCCCTGAGAGTCTCACAGTTCTTACTTTGCATATATTTTAGGTACACTCTAAAAGTGCATGTCACTCTCTGCCTATATCACAGGTATTCATGTTATATATCAGTAACTTTGGGTCCCTAAGACACAGGTTCGTCAGCTTTAATATGAGGTCAGGGTAACAGTATTTGCCTCATCAACCTCACAGGGCTTTAGGGAGACTGTAATGTGGCCCACAGACACAAAGTGAGGTGGGAGACTCTTGGACAAGATGGGATGAGTTGGCTCAGTGTTCCCTATAGCACCTGCCATAGTCTCTGGGACACAGTACCCTTATCCATGGAAAGAAGCTATTCCAGCATGAAGGAGAAGTTAGTGGCTAACTATCTAGCTCCCCTTGCCTGGCCTTACTTTGCAACAGGCCAGCCTGCCTAGGGCACTACTGTCTGTCCACACAGCCTGGCACCATGCTCCTCCTTCAAGCCTCAGAGGTGGGGAGAGGCAGGGTCTCCCTCCAACTTGACTGTGGTGGTGCCAAAGAGAGGCTGCCTCCCCCGCCTGAGGGTCTGCCTCTAAATCTCCTGGTAGCAAATCAAGGTACAAAGAGGAAGGGAATGATCAAGCCCCAAGTATGGTGCCTGAAACTCAAGGTACTAACTTGGGTCTGTCCTCTTCTAAACCGGATCCTCTTCTAGACCCTTTGAGATGGTCTACACACATTGTATAGATAAAGAAACTGAGGGCTGGGTCAGAAAGGCTGGGAGGCCTGGCCTTTGGTAGTCTTCCTAATTTGGTCTCTTGGCTAGGAAGTGGTGGAGCCTGGGTTCTGCTGACCTAGTCCAGGTTCAACGGGAATGGGATGCAGACCTTTCTCCAGAGGTATCTTTCTTCCAGTACATGCCTTTTGCAATGGTTTCCAAACACCCGACTTTCAAGGCAGATCCTAAGCTGGACCTGAGGCAGACAGATACAGTTTCTCTGGCCTAGGGTTTTCTGCTTCCTCAAATAACAGTCAGACCTTGGAAGAAGCAGGTTAATTTTCACGTGGTCCTACTTTGGCACCAGCAGATGGGATCCCTAGCAATAAAAGGGCATCCCCTGATCTCAGAGGGTGGGAGGGGGCTGACCAGCACAGGGACCACGGCTGGTAGGACAGAAGTCAGTGGGTCTCCCTAGGATGGCGGCCTCCTTTCTCTAACCCTTTGGCTTCCCAGAGAATCATCTTTCCAGGTAGTAATGCTGTAAATCCCAGAGTGAGGCCTGGGGTGGGTGATACGAGATGGAACAGCTTTGAGCAAATGGAGGCAGACATCTTTGGGGAAGGATGCAGAGTCCCAGAAGTGCAGAAGGTGGAACGGGCCAGCTGACTAGGCCTTGCCTCAGCTGGCCTGCCTTGTGCTCAAGCCTCAGAGGCCAAGTCACACTAAAGAAGGGCCATGCCAGCCTGGAGACCAGCCCAGACCTTCCTGCAGGGCTCGGGCAGATTGGCTCTGCCATCTCAAGGCCTTCCCCAGTCCCCAGGGTCCTCTACTTCAGCCCAACTGCAGTCCAGAGGGCCTCCCTTACAATCCACAGGAGCACACCGGGCTTCCTCTGTTCACCTTCACTACCCATAGACAGAGGAGCCACAGAAAGTGGGCAGCAAGAGGGGTGGCCAGGGGGCCAACTGGCCCAGAGGAAGAGGAGTTTGAGGCTGCAAAGAGAGAAAAATAGCAGAGGCAGGAGAAAAGGTTGCCAGGGCTGGGGGGACACAGAGCTACTGTACTCCAAAGAGGCAGGCTGTGTTGGAGAGAGCGGCCGCCAGCCCCGTTTATTGTTTATTTTATTACTCTGGGTTGCTGGGCCTCAGGCCAGGGAAGTTATTTCAGGCAAAGATCATAGCGCATTAATTAGTTATTAGAAGAATGTCCTTTCTGTGTGTTCTTCCTGAGACAAGGAATAGGCCCCGTGGCAGGCACATAGAACTGAAAGTAGATGCACAGTCTGGAGGCAAAGAGCCAAGTACTGGGGGAATGAAGAGGCAAGCCTTTGTTTTGGAGGGAAAGGTCCCTTGCAGGTTCACGCCTGAGCCAGAGAGGAGAATCAAGGCAAGAAGTGCAGAGAGCCAGGCAGGGGTGGACTTGCCCACCCCGGGGACCTTTGCTCACTGTGGAGAAGGGGTAATGTGCCCACTTGCCCTTTTGGAAAACACCTGTGAAATAGGACTCAATACAAAAAAAAAAATAGAGATATTAAAAAATGAAAAATGCTGTGTAACCTTTGGCCTGATAGTGGTATTCTGGGAATCTGTGGGAAAAGAGCCCAATATGTGGGAAAATGTTATGAGCAGGGACCTTCAGGGTGATCCTACAATGACAAACAAATGAGAAGAAAACCTGAAACATTCCAAAGAAGTAGCTGGTTAGGAGAATAATTGCATCCATGTGAAGTAAAATATTATATAGCTGTTAAGAATAATAATTTCATGGGAATGCTTATAAGTAAAAAAAAAATTCCAGCCTACAAAATTATATATATATATATATATATATTTGTATATATATATATATATAATTATATGTAAATATATTATATATAT